GATATCAGAAATAGAATACCTCGCACGGAACAAAGATGTCAGTAGATCAGAATAATAAGAACMCTGTGTAGATTTAGTACCGAGAGCTACACGGGATATAATCAGAGCTACTGAAAGCTCACGTCGAAGCGCGAGAATCTTAATCTTATAATTTTATTTTCATACACACTTAAGAGTACACGTAATCTCGTGCACGGGAGCAGGGGCGCCTTGAAATCCCAAATTGTTCCTGCCACTGGAATCTTGTCAAATTAGCATGCAATTTACAGGATTCCAAATTCCAAAAATGGGGGGGAAATATGTAAGTTGAGCTGGCCGGCTGTGCTATCCGTACCACTGAAAGTGATTCCCGAAAACATATCACGAAACATGTTTTCGGGAATGAACCAATGAGTACGAGTACCGTTTCCATCCTTCGCCGAATGCCTTTAATCTAAGGTACAGGTAGTACGAGAACGCGGAATTATTTTCGTTCGACAAACTTAGTTTTAGTTTTCATGACCCTCACGTACCGTACGGTATGTAGTTTTTGTGAGGGAAAATAAATGGACCCCTGGTTTTTGTTTCAAAAGAGTACAGTAATTTGCTACACAAGTACGGTACAAGGTACAATACAGAACAATTCAATGCGCTTTGATAAGGCGTAATTATCCATGTCTATGATTCTTTTGCATCGGGGGTCGCTTTCCCAAATTTACTTCTTGATACGGTATTGACTTGTCACGTGCTTGTCGCCTAAATAAGAATTTTTTTTTGTGGTCGCGATCCAAATACTTAACATATTTTTTGTCGTATTTTACTGTATGCGTTTCGAAGAAATTTGTTTCTTACAGTACGTATTGGAAGCAAGATGTAAAATATTTCCTCCTTTCAAGATTTGTTAGTTCGTCTCCAAAAAAACATTCTTTTATCTTACTCGTAGGTACTAGTGTACCGTTCCGGCATCGGAAACAATTTTGTCAAAAAGGAAATTGTAATCAAAATCAACATTCGAGTTACTACTCGTGAAAGATTAATGTTGTCATGACGAGTTACCTCATCAAAGTTGCTTTAGCTGTCGCTACCATATCATCCCCTATGGTCCGTTCAGCTCCGATAGTGGGGAAAGCAGAGACTGAGCGGGATGGACGCGAGATGAATGAAAACATGCACAGAATTGTGGAAGACTTCAACTATTCGACTTTTTCAAGGTCGTTAAACCGAACACTGATTGCAGAAAAGTACGGTGTGTCGTGGAGAAGCGAAACGAGCAATGAAATTGGAGTGAAAATAATTTACTCGGGAGCGGATCCAAATGCAAATGCAGCGTCGGCTCTCGATGCCACTCTTTCTGAAACTGGTGTCTGCCAAAACTTGGATTGCAGAGATTTCATGTGCATTGGGTGGTGTGATATCACGGCGTTGGGTAAAAACGGTGTTATCGAAAGCCTTGCAGAAGTTAGTCATATTATTGCCCTCATGATGCCCGAAACGAATTCTTTCACCGGGTCTGGTTCAATACAAACACAAGCGATTGCAGCGATGCAAATCAATACGATGTTGCGCAAGTATCCAGAATTAACGGGTAAAGGGGTGAAGATCGGGATTATTTCAGACAGCTTTAATGCAAGGGCAGGAACTCTTGCTGGGAGAAATGTCGCCGTGAACGGTACCTCCGAAGAGGCCGATATCGAAAGCGGCGATTTGCCAGGTGGTGATCAGAGAGTGAAAGTTTTGACCGAAGTCGAGCCAGACTTTCCCTTTCCAGTATCAGACGAAGGTCGTGCATCGGCGCAACTAATTTATGACCTGGTTCCAGATGCGGAAATTGTATTTAGCAGCGGATTTCTAAATGCAGGAGGTTTCTTTGCATCAGCGATCGAAGAACTAGTCGAATATGGTTGCGATGTGATTGTGGATGATGTTAGTGAGTCCGATACGATTCTGCTTCTCACGTACGAAGATGATTTCGTCGCTAATTTCTTTCGCTTGACGTTGTTTCTCAATTTATACGGTTTATTTTGTGTTTCAATCTGCTGATCTGAAGGGGCCGATGGATTTGAACCTATTTTCCAGCTTGGTCCCACTCCGAAAGCGGCAGATAATGCCGCAACAGTTGATGGGGTAGCTTATTTCACCGTCGCAAGAAATCTTGCTTCAAGGTCATGGGAAAATCGAGGCTTCAAAGATACAGCATGTCCCAACAATCCGATTTTTGATGATTACATATCTTGTCATGACTTTGGAAACGGGAACCCATTACAGAGAATTGCAAAATTTGCGCCTAACCCACTAACTTTCTACTGGGACGATCCATGGACTAGTGTCAGTGGACTTCCAGGACCAGAAAGCGACCTAGATATCTTCGCAGTAGATATAGAAACAGGCGATATACTAAAAAGAAGCGCCACAGTCAATTCTGGAGGAGATGCGGTCGAACAGTTGGTTTTTCCACCTCAATTCTTCAATTTGGTCATCGCGAAATCTTCGGGTCCTTCGCCCAGTCTAATCAAGTGGATCGATCGAGGTTTGACCTCTTCTGATCCCCCCGCAGAATCAGCGACTCTTACAGGTACTGGACTTGCACCTGGTGTAGCTGCTGTCGGAGCAGCATCCGAGAAACAAGTGTTCGGACAGCTGGAGTTAGAACCTTTTTCCTCGCAAGGTGGGATTCCATTGATTTTCAATGATGATGGACAACGTTTTCCACAAGAAATAGTTTTGAAGCAACCGCGTTTTGTCGCTTCTGATGGGTAAGGATCACGACTCAAACAAGCCACACGACGAATTTATTTCCTGGATGACTTCTCCGCAATTGGTCGTGGTAGCATTCAATGATACTCATTATATTTTTGCTCGTCGTACTTTTTTCCAATCTTTGAATGACAACATTTTAGTTCATACAACACTTTTTTCGGTTACCTAGAGCCTTACGAGTTCTCGATTGGAGAGCAAGCTTTGCGTGTTCCTCCACGGTTCTATGGGACTTCATGTTCGGTTGTTAATGCTGCCGCCGTAGGTGTGATCTTGATTCAGGCGATGTCTTTGTTTCCAGGAGAAAGGAGACTTCTCAATAGTAAGAAAACGAAGAAGACTGGAGAGGAAGGAGGTGTGAATAGTACGAGTGCGAAGAACGAAAGTGAGGAAGACCAAGACGTTAGGAAAGGATTTTCATTACCATTTGATGTATATAAAATTATGGAGGATACTGCTATTGATATGAACGAGGGGGGATTCGACTTTTTGTCTGGCTTTGGATTTATCAATGCCTTTGACGCCGTGGAAATGGTTGTCCAGAAGGCGAGAAAAGGAACAAAATCTAAAAAGGCGAGCAAGAAGTCAGGAAGAATAGAATCGGTCTCGACGGAATGCCCTGTAGAAAGCTTTCTGGGTCCGATAGGAAGTTACTTCGATGATTCATATGTAGCGAATGCTACTTTAAGTTAATGTTTTATGGCCGAATACTCATTCATAATAGCTGCTAATCCAATTGTACAGTATATACTAGCACTTAAATAATGCCAGAAACGAGTGAGAGATGTATTAAAAAATGTGCTTACGGTCATTTGAGCGCATAGGGTCTAAAAGTTTATTCATTTGGAAGGTGCCATTCCATTCATGTTGTTTTAAATTTGATCATTTTTTTCCCTTTTCCAGATCTTTAAAGCTGAATTTGATACTTCAAACTCTACTGAAGCATGGTTAATCATACTCAGAGAGATTAATAAGATCACAAAGATAGTTCTGGGTCCAATGCTTCTTTCATACCTAACTGATCCTGATGAAGGACAACCAGCAAGGGGCAATGAAGCTAAAGAACAAGAATGGAAATACTCACATTTATTCAATAGTAATTTGTGAGCAACTGCTGGGTGGCAACAAAGGAAGTTGCCAGAAAATTGTCCTACTACTGTAGATACAGTTGGAGAAAATTTTACAAAACCACTAGTACAAGGGGCTTATTCTTGACTTTTTGCAACAAACCCCTAGGTTCAAGGAACAGGACAAGAATCTTAATATTATGTTTAAACTCGTGAACTAGAAGAGGCACTGTATGGCCAGAACCATAGCTTTTGTTGGAAAGTATGCTTCTAGTTGCATGGAGGGGCAGCCCTTCCCTCTGAGGAGTTTAGTGGAAGTGCGATCAGGTTATTGGTTGGGCTGKGGAATTATGTGAAATATTTGTTCATAGTAGTTTGAATGTTATGTTTGGTTGCAGCAGAGACCAAAGAAATCTGTGGTGATGCAGAGTGTTTTATGTCATTTCAGGGGAAAACTGTTACTGATTAGTGATGCTGGTTGGGAGAAACTGTTTCTTATTAGTGACGCTGACAGTGTCACTGGAGGGAGGGTGATTAGATGTTGGTTGTTGGAACAAGAAGTGCTTTCACCGGTATAATGGTAGCTTCAGCAAATATTTCTGAGGACTCCTCTGTGTCTGACAATCAACAATGAGTTTCCTTGTTGCTACTACCAACATTGTAAAGGAGCAGTATTGGTGCAAAAATGAATGTTATTTTACATAAATATATTCATCAAGAATGCATTTCTGACATGTTGGTGACATCATGACAAAAATTCCAAAGAAAAATTGGTGTAGTTGGACAAGTTTTGGTGATGTCTTTTGGTGGGTTCAACGCATTTAACAGGGGGAAAGATGGCCCAAAATCACCGTCTAGTTCATAGATCTGGCTGCCAATGCTATATGATGGGCAGGTGTTATTGATTATTGAAAGGTATTCAGGGCTGAATATCTGAAATTAAAATGTATGATTGGTGGGTTTGGAAAAGCATGGCCCACACTATATTATAGGCCCCTAAATGTATACTAGTAGTTTTTGTCACAGTTGGTGTACAATCAGAAAAATGGTCAGAGGAGTCTGCATTATGGAGATACAGCAATTCACAAATTTGATCTACTAGTAAAAAATAACAATCTTTGCTGTGTTTTGCCCCAACAAGATAGTAGTAGTAGTAGTAGTAGTAGTAGTAGTAGTAGTAGTAGTAGTAGTAGTAGTAGTAGTACTAGTAGTACTAGTACTAGTACTAGTAGTAGTAGTACTAGTACTAGTAGTAGCAGCAAAAAACAAGAAAAGAAAGAAATGAGGTTCCTCACATCAAATAATGATATTCATGCATCAATCATACTAATAAGAGCTACACATCAGTACCCTAACCACTGGTGTCTTCATCAAAGTTTTGGTTGTGGACATATCAGTTTCACCATGGCAGAAGTGAAATTTCTAATCTCCTCTTGCATGTTGAAGATTTGTCTTAGAGAGCACTGTATTGGCAGCCAGATCTAGTACAATCTAGTCTTAGATTTTGGGCTGTCAATTTCCCAAAGAAAAATATGTCAAATACGCCAACAGATATCACCCAAACTTGCCCAACTACACCATTTGGTTGCCTTTGCAAGATCTTTCTTTTTCAAACAGCTCTTTTTTAGACACCCAGCACAGATCTCATTGAGTTCTTTGTTGTGTGATGTTGGCTTTTGGTCCCACCATTCCCAATCCTCCACCCACTACCAGTCTTGATTCAATGTGAATTGGATCTGTGGTGAGGGATCATCAATTATTTATGGTGGAGGGGGCTCCAGAGCTTCAGGGGGAGGCACAGAGGTATCCATTACAATTTGGATCTTTCATCCCAGGCCTGGATCAATTTGCTGTTCTTTGATCAGCTTTGCTGCTTCCCTTGCCTTTGATGCTGGATGCCACTTCATTTCCATGTTGTCCTTTACAACTGCAAGATTGCGCTTTGGCATCCAGTGCTTGTAAGCACAGTCCTTGGTTCCTTTGTAAACAAGCATTCTGGCTTGGCCCCTTGCTTCCTCCTGTTTATCTTTACCCTCTGCTTTAGGTGGGGATAACCAAAGAGTTCACCCCTTGGGCGTGATTTTACTGAGTCTGGGGAGCTGTTGGTGTATATGGTATACTTCTTTGTGTAGTTCTTCCACAAGGAAGTCTGGTGTTTTGAGTTGTGGCTGAGTTAAACACTTTTGCTGCTCCTTTTTCCCACTGCTATCCTCCATTTTAGCTGGGGTTACCTCCCTCATAGGATGTATTGTTCTTGATTGATTTAAAGAGAATAAAATGTGTTCAATAGATTGTGTTAAAGCATGGAGAAATGCATCCACCACTGTTCTTTGTGATTGACCTCATGAGGAACAAATGAATTGAGGGGGTATCTTGCCAAATCTTAACATAACTACTAGTGGCCTAATTTTGTGAACAGTTGTTCTGTTGAGGGACTGGAATGTATTGAGTCTAACAAGTCATTACATCATAAAAAGATAGCCCAAAATCAATGCACTTTGCTATTTAGCTGTGTAAGTTATTTAGTCTTGAACAGGTTGCTTAACAGAGATAAGCATACCATTGTGTTCCCAATAGAGAGAGGGCTCTAGTTATATGGGGGAGTTGGGGGGTAGTAGTAAAGATATTGATTGATATACTTGCATGGATAACAAGCATAAAAAATCCATACAATTGAGTTTTAGTAGAGCCAGAATATGACTGGTCGTGGTACTGGTGCAGCAATGATAGCAACCAAAAAAGCTATTTCCTCCTTTCCCAAATAGAGGTCAGTTTGAACCTTATTGAGTAAAACAAGTTCAATATTTTGGCAATTTGAATGGTTCTTTTTGCATCATACCCATTTCATCTAATAGTACTTTTTTGTGCTATCCCTACTAGTATTGATGTCGCACCAACAGTAAGATAGGAATAAGCCTTAAAACAGAGCTATTTTTGGCATATTTTACTGGTAATTTTTGTTCCAACAGACATTTTGATATGGTGGTACTTGCAGATGATAGCAAAGACTGGAAATTTTATGAGGCTATTATTTGCATTAGTAGTTGTAGCAAGGATAACCTTGTTCTCTTAGTATGGTCATTTCTTGTTTTTGAAAACAGGTGCACTGTACCATTGTCAAAATTTTGTTTTCTATGCTAACAGCAGTACTACTATGTTTCATTTGATGTGCGTGCCTATGTCTAGTTTGAAGTACTACTAGTTCGATGTGTTCTACACAGTTATATTTCATTTGGGGTTAAATGAAACTAGTATTCACAAGTATTAATCACAGAAGGAGTTGAAAAGAAAACCATACTGGAATCATAGTGTTCTTTCAACTGAAGCTGTCAATGGAAATAGGGAGTCTGAGGGTTGGAAAACACTAAAAATCTGGGAAGAAGTTTTTTAAAGAAGAACATAGACTGTAGTACAAAATGAATGGCTTTTTCTTTGACAACAAGAAATAACAGTTTCTTCCAGAAAATACTATAAAGTGATAAAATAAAGTTATGGAAATGAGACACAGCAGCAGAAGGTCAGTGGCAGTTGATGTCATTGCAACGGATACGTACGTACTGTATCAGAAGGATACGTACGTACTGTATCCAAAGTATACGTATGTACCATGTCTGAAGTGTACGTACGATACAAAGCTTCAAAGAAAGGAATGAAGGAGCATACCATTCCTACGTACCTATCGTAAGGTACGCTTCCTATGTATGTATCATAGGATCCATCATACGATCCATCGGTTGAGGATCATGAGAGGTCTAAGATACTATTCGAGAATACCTCACGAAGAATAGAGATGTCACGAGTCCGGAATAGAGAACCTCCGTGTAGAATCCCTACCAGGTCTACATGAGGTTCTAATCGGAACTTCGGAATTCTCGTGAACGCGCTTGGTAATCTTCGAATAATTCTAATCTTATAATTTCAATTTTCATACACACTTAAACACCTACTACTAAGAGTACACGTAATCTCTTGCAGTCATGCACTAAGTTGCTGACAGTAGTACTACACAGCATAATTCCAATTAATCTAGATTGACTGAAGTCAATTTAGAATAGTGGCCTTGGGTACAAGAAGGAAAAACATTCCAGTCTAAATCTACTAGTACTATCTAGTCAGTTTTAAATGGCGGTCTGAAGGTTGTTAAAAAATGACTAGATTTAGTCAATCTAGATGTCATTTGCTTGTCTATTTGTCTATCAAATCTAGTCAATCTAGTCAATCTAGATTGATGGGGGGAATGACCAGATGTTTGACTTCCTCTTGCAGTGCACTACAAAAGACCTAGTAGTAGTACTACTACAGTAGTAGTACTACTGTATTCAACTCAAGGACACTCATTCTTTGAGAACAATGAAAAACAGTTATGGACTTCTTGTATTCGCTCTAAAAATGTCTCGAAAAACTATGATAACCTGTTTAAAATTGAGCGTGATACAAGACAGCAAAACCTTGTACCTGTTACCATACCGGAGAGCTACCGATCAGCCACGAAATGAGTCCCGTAAGACTAAAAATGGGACAGAAAAGAGCGTGCTGACCGCGCGCAAAGAAGATTCCATGCACTTTATTTGAATTGCCTTTTTGGGTTCGCCACTTGAATTCGGGGCAAGGTTGTTATTTGAAAAAAGTCTATCTAACTCGCCGATAATTAAATTTAATTAATCGATTAATTAAATTTAATTAATCGATTAATTAAATATTAATTAAATTTAA